GTGTATGTATGTCCGTGTCGGTATTTGTGTGTGTGTATGTGTGTTTGTGTGTGTGTGTGTGTGTGTGTGTGTGTGTGTGTGTGTGTGTGTGTGTGTGTGTGTGTGTGTGTTTGTGTGTGCAACCAACATAATTAGACATTATTTATAATTCTAAGCTCACTGACCACTTCGTTGTATTACTAGAACTCCCAATGGGGGAGATAGACGTATAGACAATTGGACTGATGAATTGATGGACATGGTGAAGAAAAGAGGAGGGAGACAAGGATGGAATGGCATCTAAGCAATTATGCCACAGAAAATCAGTCTAGCGAAGGAAATACATAAGCCATGTATGTGTGTTTAAGTGCATTGGTTAACAAAGGCATGGGTTAACAAATTCGTTCACGTGTTGATGCATGGAAGAAAGGAAACATTCATGGATGTACAGCTACTTGGATAGATGAATAAATAGATGAATGAAAGGATAAATACATGAATAAATAGACGGACGGGTAAATAGCAGGTTATATTGACGGGCTGAATGATATATAGAATGAAGAAGGAATAGATCAATATGAAATGATTTCATTTAATTCGAGACAAACATAATATGAACAACCTGTGGACTAGTTACACACATGAAAAGACAGATAGGCTGAAAAACAAATAGAACTACATACCTGTAGACAGACAGACAGACAGACAGACATACAGACAGACAGACAGACAGACAGACAGAGTAATGATAACAGAATCAGGATTAACTTACCTCATCTGGCAGGCCTCGTTTTTTGCAAGTGAATACTAATATCAAGCTGGTGAGTTCGATATGCTGCAGGTAGAAATGAGTATGCATTAAAATCAGTGGGTTATTTGATTGTAATGATCTATCTATCTATCTATCTATCTATCTATCTATCTATCTATCTATCTATCTATCTATCTATCTATCTATCTATCTATCTAAATCACTTGCGTAGTCTTTGAAAATCTTCTCCAGATCGGGCGTCTCGTTGACGATCATCTCGTAGGTGCTGCCGATGTGTGAGAGCTTGAAGTAGCCCCTCAGGCCACTCAGACGCGAGCCGTCCACCTCCGATGTGCGACCCACCGTGAACTCCCACCGCTCCCCGCCCGTCACCTGGATTGTGAACAGGGTCGTGCCTGGGCAGGGGTGTGAGAGATTGGGTGGGGCAGGGGCGGCAACCCAAAAGAAAAAAATAGAAAAAAGGGTGGGGTGGGGAAGGTTGGCTTTGGGAATGCGTAGATTTCACTTCTCTCATTAAAGAAGAAGAAGAAGAAGAAGAACGTCAGCACAACGATTTTGGAGCTAACTTGAAGGTTGTTTTTGGACGAGTCGGAAACGTGCGTATTATGTTGTCATGTGTGATGTGTGTGGTGTGCAGCAAAAGTGTGAGCGAGAACGCACTCGTGTCGAGAAGCGGAATTGCGTGTGGTTGAACTGTGTTGCTAACGTGAGACGGTTGTGGTAAGTCTGGTTAGACACCGGCCAGTGGTTAGTATATGTGGACTGTAAAAATTCGTACAAGAGTTCTAGCTGAAGAAGAATATCTCCGTGACCTGACGTGCGTATAAGTAAGAACCAGCGATCTTGTTACATAACTTTTGACTTTGTTTATTTATGATTTATGAAAGTATAATAGATTTCCTACACAACAATAAGGTTTGACATTTCCTTTTCGTTTTGTGTGTCACTACTGATGCTGCATGCTGCAAAACGAAACACCGTTTTCTTTTGGGAATAGACGCAAAAGATCCGATTACACCACTTCGATATCAAGTCAACACATTTTAAAAAGACAAGAGTACGATTTTGTGAATATTTGATTACCTGGAGAAGCCGTTTCTAGCACTGTCAATTTTCCGTTGGAGATGGCGCCCGGAACAGTACATGTGTCAACAGCTGTTGATGAAAGAGACATTCATGATGAGGACTTTCGTCTTACCTATTCCAAGAGGTTTCCTTCTGCAATGTAATGTTCATTGTCTTAGCCTTCAGGGCACGGGGCCATCATTAAGACAATTAAGATCACAATTGCATTATGTGTGTGTGTGTGTGTGTGTGTGTGTGTGTGTGTGTGTG